TCTTTCTCTTCCCCCCACCTTATCTCGCTCTCTACCTGACTCTATGTCTGTCTGTCACTTCTCCCCCCCCCTCTCTCTGTCATTCTTTCTCTATCACTCATTCTTTCTCTTTCTTTACGTCTTTTTGTCAGTCTTCCCCCCCCCCCCCCACCACTCTCTTTTTCTCTCCGCCTCTCACTCTCAATATCTTTCTGTCTGTTTCTGTCTCTCACAAGGGCTGTGGACGAGAGAAAGGCGACACGGAGAGAGAAAGAGAAGAGAGGAAGTGACAGAGAGACCCACAGAAGGTAAGGACGAGGGAAACGCAATGGCTGAGTATAAGAGAAAAGCGACTCTCACTGTATCTCTTAATCTCACGGACTCTTACTCGCCTTTCGTCGTTGTGAGAGAAACAGAGACAGGATGAGGGAGGGAAAGAAAAATAGGGTGAGACAATGAGTGATAGATACAGAGAAAGAGAAAGATACAGTAAAAGAGACAGATCCACAAGGGCTAGAGACGAGAAAAAAGCGACTCGAGAGAAAGCGAGAGAGATCTATATCTATACCAATTTACTAGTATCTACATATTTTATCTATATCTATTTACATTATCGGCCTAACATGTAGGCCTATAATGTAAATATATATATAGACATACATATATATGTATGCCGTGCGTGTATCAAATATTTATATGTATATATACTCTAAATATTTATGCATTGTACATATATTTATATGTATAAATACATATATTAATTACTGTATATATACATAATCATGTATGTACATATATACGAACATATAAAAAAACCCATTCAACAACCATTCCTCCACAATTATTATATATACATAATCGTGTATATACATATATACGTACATATAAAAAAATATTCAACAACCATTCCTCCACAAATTTATTAATGAGAAGTCATTTGGCAATACCAACCTTACCTGATTGGCTACCCTTCTTAATCATAGATATATATGTATATATATTACATAGAACATAAACATATAAATATTCAAATGTATGTATGTGTGTATACATTTGGTTATATATAAACATGTATAAGTGTATATACATATATGAATCAATATATATTTACAGAAATATATATCCAAATAAACATTTACATACACACAAATATATACCTGTATCTGAATATGTATACTCTATAAAAATGTGTATATATCTAGTGAGAGATAGATATATGTATATATACAGAGGGAGAGAGAAACCCACAATGGCTGAGGACGAGAGAAAGACGAAAGTCTCCTTACTCTTGTCCTCGGCTCTTGTGAGTCACTCAAAGAGTCGCCTTTCTCTCGTCCCCAACCTCTGTGGCGCTCTCTCTCTCTCCCTCCTCCCCCTCTCCCTCTTTCTCTCTTCCCCCCACCTTATCTCGCTCTCTACCTGACTCTATGTCTATCACTTCTCCCCCCCCTCTCTGTCATTCTTTCTCTATCACTCATTCTTTCTCTTTCTTTACGTCTTTTTGTCAGTCTCCCCCCACCACCACCACTCTCTTTTTCTCTCCGCCTCTCACTCTCAATATCTTCCTGTCTGTTTCTGTCTCTCACAAGGGCTGTGGACGAGAGAAAGGCGACACGGAGAGAGAAAGAGAAGAGAGGAAGTGACAGAGAGACCCACAGAAGGTAAGGATGAGGGAAACGCAATGGCTGAGCATAAGAGAAAAGCGACTCTCACTGTATCTCTTAATCTCACGGACTCTTACTCGCCTTTCGTCGTTGTGAGAGAAACAGAGACAGGATGAGGGAGGGAAAGAAAAATAGGGTGAGACAATGAGTGATAGATACAGAGAAAGAGAAAGACAAAGGGAAAGTGAAAGACAGAAAAGAGAGGGAGGTGAAAGAGTGAAAAAGAGAAAGATACAAAGAAAAATAGGAGGGGGGGGGGGTGGAAGACTCTCTTTCCTCTGGTCCTCAGACCTTGTAGGTCTCTTCCTCTTTCATTCTATGTCTCCTCTCTTTCTGTCTGTCTTTGTCTCTTTATCTCTGCCTCTATATCTCTCTATTATTGTCTTCATATGTATGCATATATACATATACCTATATCTGTATACATAAATATACTTGTATAGATATATATGTATATGTAGGTGTGTATTTTTATATGATATATATGTATGTGTAAGAATTTTTATATGGATATGCATACATATACATATATACATTATCATATATATTTGATGTATATACACATACATATATGTATATATAAACATACAGATACACATATTTATACATATATAAATATATGTATAAATGGCATAAGTGATAGCGTGGTTGATTAGGAAGGGCATCCAGTCAGGGAGGGGTTGTACTACCAAATAACGTCTAGACAATAAATTTGGATATTTTTAGATCCAGCAGTGTAATAAATGGGTTGTTCAAATAAACAAATATCTATACATGTATATATACACATAAGAAATATGTATATGGATATTTATATTTATATATTAATATATACAGTATACATAAATATGTATATAATAGTGTGACAGTAATGTGTACACAAAGATGAAAAGGAAAACAGCCACGGTAAAAATGAATATGAATCGTAACGTTTCGAACTCTTCACGAGTTCCTCTTCAGACGAATAATAAATCGAAATGAATACCAAATAAGTACATACATACATATATATATATATATATATATATATATATATATATATATATATATATATATATAATAGATATATATGTATAAATATATACATGTGTTTATGTATATACATATACACATGTATGCTTACATATGTGAGTATATACATATCACCATCTCCTTAGCCGTTTGGCGGCCGTGAGTGTACCCATTCGTAGACAGCCTCTCTCCATCCTACCCGATCTTTCGTCATTCTGTTAAGTTGGATACTTTCCTTCCCACTCCATTCTTTCAAATCACCCGTCCAATTCCCCTGTGGTCTTCCTCTTCCACGTCTCCCCTCCATTCCTCCCTCCATCGCCGCTCTTGCTGTTTCTCCTCCTCGAACACAATGGCCAAAATGGCCAGTTTCCTTTTCTTTACTATTTCAACTAAACCCTCTAGTTCGTATCCATATAATTCTTTAATCCTGTTCTTCACAAATTCATTGTCTTTCTTTTCTTTCCATGATATACCCAACATTCTTCTATATGTTTTCATTTCAAATGCTTTCAGCCTCTGCTCGTCACTTTTACTTACTGTCCAACTTTCGCATGCATACAGGAGAGTAGCTGTCACGATCGATCTCATCAAATGCAACTTGTTCTTTATTTCTATATTCTTTGCCTTCCAGATGTTATCCAACTTTGCTAGTGCACTTGTGACTCTTCCAATTCTGATTCGAATCTCTTTTTCAGATGTTCCATCTTCTACTAGTGTTGATCCTAAATATGTGAAATTCTTCACTTGCTCTAAAATGGCCAGTGTTTCACCGTCCACCTTTACATTGACTATCTGATCATTGATGTTCTCTCTTTTTCCTACAACCATTATTTTGCTTTTCTCTGCACTGATTTCCATTCCATTTTTTTTAGAAGCTTCTTCTACCCTCAGTGTAATTTCCTGAATACCTTCTTCACTTACTTCCATAAAATAAATGAAAGGTCATGGCCACTGTCTTCTGGGATGCAGTGGGGATTTTGCTGGTTGACTTCCTCGAGAGCACGAAAACCATTACATCTGCTTATTATGCATGCGTTTTGAGAAAAATGTCCAAGAAAATATCAGAAAAACGCCCTGGAAAGCTGCATCAACGCGTTCTCTTCCACCACGACAATGCACCCGCTCACGGGGCTGGGCAGACAAGAGCTGCGCTACGTGAAGGTACCAATTTTCCATCGGTTGAAGATGCAAAGAGAGCTGCTCTGACATTGTTCAGATCACATGACTTCCAACTGGCGGCGAAGCCTTATTATCTGCATACAAGGGATCATGTCTGAACACGTTATAACACGTTGGTACAAGAATGTTCAGGTGCACTGAAATCAAAATTCTTCCATATGATTTTTAGTTATGGACTTTTTCCACGAACTGGAGTGTATATGTATGTATATATATGTATGTATACACATAAATGCACACACACACACACACACACACACACACACACACACACACACACACACACACACACACACACACACACACACACATATATATATATATATATATATATATATATATATAGATAGATAGATAGATAGATAGATAGATAGATAGATAGATATATATAAATATATACATATATATATACATATATAAATATATACATATATATGCATATATATATACATATATGTATATATATATATATATATATATATATATATATATATATATATATATATATATATATATATATATATATATATACATAATGTATATACCTATACATATATATATACCTATACATATATATATATATATATATATATATATATATATATATATATATATATATATATATATATATGTAAGTACATAGACATATATGTGTGTGTGTGCGTGTATGTATATATTTACATTTATGTATATACATATATGCGCATATGACTGTATGTGTGTATATATAATATGTATATACATACATACATATATATATATATATATATATATATATATATATATATATATATATATATATACATATATATATATATATATACATATATATATATATATATATATATATATATATATATATATATATATATATATATAAATATATATATATATATATATATATATATATATATATATATATATATATATATATATATATATATACATATATATATATATTATATATATATATTATATATATACAAATATATATATACATATATATGCATATATATTCATGTGTGTGTGTTAGATTAATATCAAACTGCCTCCATTTCTGAATGAAACACATAAATTACCCGCAGCGTCTTTCGCGAGGCAAGGGAAAGCGAGCCAGAGGCCCCTCAGACCGACAGGCGCCGTCTTTATTTACGTTCCTGCTCGACCTCAACTTCAGGGCGAGAACCCAGGGAAAGAGTGGACTTAAAATAAGAAAATCCTGTGGATTGTGGGCGAGTAACACCATCTTAAGTTTGAAGCAACTTCCCAATAACTTGTACTTGAGTACGTGGGAATAGTGACAATAAGTCAGGTAAATGTGAAAGTACGGAAAAGTACAGGATATTCGGACAAGATGTAGTATAAAGTAGTGGCAGAGTTGGGTAATAACACCTACGTGAAATGATAGAACAATACAAACCAAGACATACCACGGTGTTAGGTTAGGTTGGATGTTGGGTTAGGTCGCCCATTTGCACAAGGAACAATGCCTGGAATCGTTGAAAGCAGTGGATTTCATGCAGAAAAATATCAAAATTGTTTCGAAAGTAACCCATCTTCTTCCCTTTTATTTTAAATATAGCATCCTTGGGAAGCATTTGCACTCATATTAATATTGCCATAGAAGAACTTTGTCTTGGTTTGTATTGTTCTATCACTTCATGTAGGTGTTACTACCCAACTCCGCCACTACCTTATACTACATATTGACTGGATATTCATAACCGATGGTTCTTTTTTTCCAGTTTATTTCATGTAATATAGATAAATTAGATCATTTTCTGGAATAGTATCGCATAACCGATCGCTACAATTTTGGTATAGATTGATTCTTCTCACTCTTTACTATCCAAATATAATAAAATTATGCTGCAGAACCCCCTCCCCCCCCAACCCCCACATTCTCGGCCCCCATAGCAAGGGAGGTCGAGGAAGGTACCGGGGAGGATGTGGGGTTAAATATGAATAATATACTCAGAATCAGTCTATATTGTCTTCTGAATCGGGCTGTGCCACCTGCGACCTAGCCCCTTGGCCCTGACCTCCCCCCAACCCACATCCAGGGAAACAAAGAATCCTCCGTGTGTTTACAGCAGGAGAGAGCATTGTACAGACACGGTGTCGGGCGCTCCTCTATGTTGGTTTTGCACTCTACCCTGCTGTGAATACGTGGAGGATTCTTTGTTTTCTTGGGAGGTGGTTGCAGGGGGAACAGCCCCATGCATAAGACAATGCAGTGATTGATTCTGCGTATATTATTCATATTTTACCCTGCAATTTCCCCGGTTCTTTTGATGCCCTCTTTTGCAATCAGGGTTAACCCAATGGTGATGGGGGAAGAAAACTAAAAAAAAACTCTACACTCTGGCGATCAATGGCAGCGCGCCGACTTTAAGCATGGTAGTTTGGAACACCTATAGACGTCACCTGTCATGAAGGGGTTAAGAATGTTGGGGTTAGGGGTAGATCCACAGCATAATTCCTACATAATTCTTATATAATTGCTATATAATTCCTACTAGAGGATAAGAGGAATCCATCAGTATCAAAATTGTTGCGAATGGTTATGGGACTCTGTTCCAGAAAATTACCAAATTTCTCAGTATCTGTGATATATCAGCATGTGAATTTTCAGGTTGACACAGCATTATTTACCCAATTATTAGGATTTTAACCCCTTAATAATGGGTGAAGAAAATTGAAAAAAAAAACTATGCTCTGGAGATCAATGGCAACAGGTACATGAAGCCAAACCACCGGCTTGTAGCGCTTTTGTGCGCCGCCACGACGTATAGCCACACGCCACAGATCAAGCAGTTTGTTATGACGCCTCAGGGTGTGACCTGTTGGGAAGGGGTTAAGGACAGACTTTTCCAATACTAAGAGTTTGGAGTTTCACCAATTCCACCAATTGCCATATTTCTCTGTCAGGAGCTGTATTATAGGTGAATTTTATCTTGTTTTACATGGAAAACTAAAGCTATGCCAATTTTGCACTAGGATAGAGCAAACTGAAGCTAATATTCATGTAGAGGGTAAAGAGTTGCTGTCATCATTACAAAAAATATCAGCAGACATGAATGATAATGCCACAAATAAAGAAAAAAAATTGTGGAAAGGGCCTCTCATGTTTAAAGCATCCACTTGGTACCCACAGGTAACTGTGGGTAACTGCTATATCTTGCTGTGGATACACAGTGAAAGCAATGTTTGTGGGGGAGGGGGTGTTGGGGAGCAGAGCCCCCCCATCAACCCTCCCCTTGGGCAGTGCCTGTAAGTCCATGGTGATCAGCTTGGGGTCTGGGGGCAGAGTCAACGTTCCCAAGTTAGCAAGGGTTTTGGTTCGCACAGCAATGCTTGTAAATCTCCAGAAGTGACAGGACTTATTCTCAGAGGGTGTGGTCACTTAATTAACTATTAACAATACAAATTGTGCAACACATATTACTTTATCATATGTTTACATAATTCCTGTATGTACTAAGATGTGGAAAATCTGATGACACTGTTGTGAAGTAGAGGAAAACCACACTCACTGATACATGACATAATAATGTAAAAAATAAAGAAAATAGGTTGCTACAAATGTCGTGGGGAGAGTAAGACCATAGCAATGGGGTGGGGTCTGGGGGCTGAGGCCCCTATAGGGAAATGCAGAGATTGGGTGGGTGTCTAGGGGCAAAGCCCCAAGAGTAGGAAGGTTTTTGATTCATTCAGTAATGTTTGGAATTCCCAAGAGTGCTTGAGTAATAGGGACTTTGTGTCAGATAAGTGTAGTCACTTTGTAAATAATTACCCCCCCCAAAAAAAAAAAAAAAAAAAAAAAAAAATGTCTCAAAGTTTACTCTCATCTAATGAGAAGTAATCAGTAATTTTGTCTATGATTTGCACTGTTGCCACTTCTCAAAGTCAACACTGCTAATTAGGATAAGCATTTATGTAATATGACATTTGATATATTTGTATGTAATATGGCATCCTATGTTTTTTATTGCAGTTGCCATGAAGGCTTGCAAGTCATTTGTATTTTCAGAAAAGATATGAGCAATATAAATGAAGGAAAACACTCAGTGTTTAAATCAAAAGTGGCCACCAAGTTTACCCTATGATTTCCAATGCAGAATAAACTTCAATGTAGGAAAATTGCATCATAGTTGTCTTCATCTCATAAGGAAAATATAGATCCTCCAGACAAACACGACACAGCCACAGCAGCACAAAGACTGCCCAGTCCTTAGCCAACTGGGGAGCGTACTGGTTCCCCCCTCGGCCTCCACTTCACCTTCAGCACCCAGCCATACTAATGAGCAGCATGACCCTGCAACGTGAAGATTAGCATACATCCCAGGTTGGGTCACACCAGCTCCACAGCCATGTCCTCAACACATTGGACAGTGGGCCCCCCTCATTCCCTGCATGCTTACACAGTCTTTTGGCATTTATTTGCTGTCATCATGAACTGCACCAACCGCATTGATATGCTGACTCTGCAGGTAGTGGAAATGGCTAGGAGAGGTGTACCAGTTATTGGTGTGCACCTTGTACCCTGATGACAACTTTCAAAGATTCAAGCATGTCCCCTTTATCCTGGCCTGTGTAGATCTGGAAGGTGCTGATGTAGCCTGAGCTTGGCCCCCCCCCCCCCCCCCCCCAAAAAAAAAAAAAAAAAAAAAAAATATATATATATATATATATATATATATATATATATATATATATATATATATATATATATATATATATAAATTGCTCACAAAGCAGCCTATGCATACACAGACATATGCAGCCAAGGTACCCAGGGGAATTTCAATAACCATTGTAGTAAATTAAATATTTCTAAATTATTTACTTGCTTTTTCCTGGATCTTTATCTTTAGCTGAAGTCAGTCAGCCTCAATGAACATGAAAGTGTACCCTTGTACCATCTGATTATAGAGGGCCAGTGTCCAGTTACTGGGATTTTAACCCAAAGGTGCCGGGGGAAATTAACAAAAAATGGGGAAAATATTGTGCCCACTCTCTATGTTTGTCGTGAAATGTCTGCCGATAGATGGCTCTGCTAGCGCCTGATTTAAATGGCGGGAAAAACGTATTTTTCACAAGTGCTATGAAAATCGATGGTGTTATTTTTATCATAAACATTATAATTTTTATAATGTTTTTTAACATTAGTAACAGCAAGATAAGATTACGTAAAATATTTTGTAAATCAAAGAAACGAGTAAACGGGCGAGACGGGCGGTGCTTGTAACTGGCTCATTGGTGATTTAGTACAAGTGTTGCCATCTATGCGTAAAAACAATCAAACAAGTACTCAGGGTGGGCATAGCACGTACGTACATGTCATACCCGGCACCAAGGGGTTAAGTCCTATTATATAACCCCTTGAGTTGGCTCTTTTAATTTCTGTCAGTGTTTGTGAATGTTAGTACAGTCTAATTAACTGTTTATAGTATATGCTGTAATTAAGTATAACCATTACCCAAAGTAAATGATGCCAAAACTTGTTTGATTTTTTTTTCCTATTTTAGTTACTTTGAGCTTTTTTCAACAGACAGAAGTTAAAAAACATCAGAAGTTATAGATTTTTCAGTATTTTTATTGCTGGCTTTTGAGTCTGTATTTTTTTTTTCCCATTTCATTTCATTTCATCTCACACAAAGCTCCTTTCAGCATAATTTTTTTCATAAGTAATGAAAAGGTGAAATGTTAATTAAGTTGAGGCAGTGTCATAGGACTGCATCATCTTGTCAGCTATTGTGTATTTTGGATTTCTTGTTGGGGATCAGTGTGTATGTGGGAATTTGATGACAATTATTATTATTATTATTTTGATTGAAGCTTATTATGTATTTTTCACCTTTCAAGGTCTATTATTTTTGTTGCTAGTTTCATTAATATTACTAATAATGTATTTCTTTTTTTCAGATGCTTGGATACTACACCTCTACAAGAAACTTTATCCATAAACTACTGAACATGACGTAGTCTTGTAAATCATTGCTCATTACACCTGAGTTCATGCTCACACAACCAAGAATATTTTTCATTCATTCACAACAACAAAGATTAAAGCAGGAATGCCGACTCTTCCGGCCTCTGCTGTTGGGGGCCTATACTCCAGAAGGCGTCAGCAGGTCAGACGTGACCATGACAAGAATATCATGTCTGGGGTAAGTGAATTTTTTTTTTTACTTTAGATTAAATTTCTCATGGAAAAATGTTAATAGAAAGATACAATATATAGAAAGACAGAGAATTAATGTTTATTATAACTTTCTTCCCATAGGTGGTCAGCATTATTGTAATTGTTGTAGTGTGTGCCTGCCTAAGCCAACCTCAGTGGTTCTGGTTGGATGGAGGAGGTTGTACCACACATACTATTGGCCTATATATGTTTTTCCACCCGGGAGAGTTCCAAGCAACTGAAGGAACAACTTACAGCTCTTCAACTTCCCACCTAATATATTATGCAAATGGCCACAGTAAGTTGTAGAAGAGACATATTGAAAGAAATTGTTGAATGTGTATGACTCTATGTATTGTGATATTTCTTTTTAGGAAGATTTGTTCATAGAAAGTATCCAAATTTCTTGTTTTGCAATACCAGCAAATCAAATGTTGGCATATACTGGATACTTTTGTTATACAAGGTCTTGGAATTGAACAACATACAAGTTATGAAAGACCATTAAACAGAATATTTTTTACCTTTTTCATTTTTCAGAGCTGAAATTTTGTGTGACTCCAGAAATTGTAACCTTGATGAGAGTTGTCATTGGTCTTATCTTTGTGATGATTTGTGCATCGTTAATTCAAATGATGCTCGACATAACTGGCCCAACAGGCAGAATCCTGAAGTGCGTCAGAAAAAATGCGGTAGCTGGGATTATATCAGGTTAGCTATACCTTTTTAGTCATACTTAAAGAGTACATTTTTAAGATATGAATATATGATTAGCTGGTTTTACTTGTATCTTGATTTATTTGCAATATAGAATTCAGAAACTGATATTCCTGTTATTTGAAGTGGAAGAGACAATATATATATATATACAATCAAAGTAAAGCTTCTTAAAATGTTATATCTTGAATGACTTGGAACAAAATTTAGAAAAAAGAGAATTAACCAGATGCTGCCAGAGATGCTGCCAGAGATGGCATACATGCACATACCATACCCACATTTAGTTTAGTTTATTGTCTTTACACATAGATGGTACCACATGTACTTAGTCAAGGAGTTAATCACCTCTCTCACCTGTTTACCCTTTTCCTTGATCTTTGTAAATATTTTATTTGATTTTATATTGCCATTAATGTTGTTAATACACCAATAATCATATCAGTAATAAAAATAACAGGATTAGTATTACCAACAATATAACTTTTTTTCCCCGAAAACTCAAGGAAGGGAGAAATCAGGTATAATCAAGTAGACCGCTGAGTACTTGTGGAGCCATTTGTGTATAGATTCATTTTATGGAACACTACAGTGAATATCACATTTTCCCGGTGACATTTGGCTAAGAAGAATATGTAACTCGGGTTTCATGACAAACCGCAATATTTTTTTATTTTTTTTCTTTCCAGTTTTGGTGTGTGTAGTGTGTGTTGGTGTATGCTACTACATTACTACCTTGATAGAAACACAACAAGAGGCCACAAAGCCAGTGACTGGACCAGCAGCATCTGCTAGAGTGCAGATTAAACTAGACGTTGGGTTTTACCTTCTCATATTTGCAGGTATAACATTGGCTCATAAGATTATGATAAAACCAGTTTGTATAAGTAGACTATCTCATTAAATGTTTCATTACTATATAATTTTGCTCTGATAAGAATGTAATCAATTTTTGTATGCATTTTAATAGTCCATATTTCCATATAACAGGTGGCATGTCTGTGATGGCAGTGGGATGCAGCTGGCTACGACCAGCACACATTTTCCAGGATGGAGATGCAGCTCCCTTAGTAGAAGAGTGGGGTGGCCTGGAGGGCATGGAGACCTTCTCTGTTCCTCCAGGTAGTTCACTAGGACCATACCTGCCCTACCTACATGATATGGAGCCGCCCCCGCCAGTTGAAGGGCACCCTCCTCCTCCATATACTCCATAGTAATTTCATTCTAGATTAGTAGCCAAAGGTTAAGGATATGTATTATTTATATTATTTATGCATTATGCATCTTTAGAGATAGCCATATTTCCATATATTGATAGAATATATATGTATATATATATATAGACTGATAAATGTCATTATATTTTTTTTTATTCAGGGTTGTGATATATAATTTTTTTATGCAGGGTTGTGACTTTGTATCACTCCTAGTTCTAAAAATATTGTCTAGTGTAAGTTACTCAAGCTTTCAAATTTATTGTATCTCCACAAATCACTATGGTCTAAGGAGAGAATAATCAAGATAAAGTTGCTTATTCTTATTATTTTTATTTTTATCATAATATATTTATTTATTGATGTTTTTTTGTTTTTTTTTTCAAAGCAGCAGGTACATTGTCATTGCATCTGCTCCATGTAAAGTATGATAGCATGTGAGAAAAAAGAAAGAAATCTCTTTGTAAAAGAGTATTGAGCTAATAGTTATGTAAATACACTGTCCAAATTAGTTTTTTTTTCTATTTTGTTTATGCTTGCAAGGGTTTACTAGCATTTAGTTACAAAAGAGTCAATTGCTATGCCTGCCTGACCTCACTTTTTTACCCATTAGTTAAGATTGGGGATTTTTTTTTTAATTCCTAATACTATTATTGATAGTAATAGTATCATAAAATCAGTATTATAGTATTGGTAGCCTTGTTAATTGACTCCTTGTTGACTAAGGAGGGAGCCATCAGTGTGTAAATAGAATTGTTAAGATGGAATCAGTGGGCAGAGTATGTGTACATGGATTCCCATTGTCAGTTTGTTAGCTTTGTAAGGGCACTGGGCAGGTACAAAAAGGGAAATTATTAAGTCGTATCGATCAATACCTAAAACTCAGTATTTAGTTTTCATTTATATGCTTTGTTCGCATTTGCAAAAGAGCAATATGAAATAAAACAAGTGAGTCACTAAAGTAATATGATTACTTAGTGTATATCAAGCTTACACAGAGATTTATTTTATTTTATTTTATTTATTTATTTATTTATTTTTAGGAATACAGTATTTTACTTTAGTAATATTTGTTTAGTAGCTCCAATAATAGTTGTTTCTTGAATTGGAAGAAAGGCAAAAAAATGAATAACTAAAAAATAATAAATAGATAAATAAAATAATCTGTTGTGTTTACTGTATTATTGTTTTGTGAAATGTCTCTGCACATAGATGGCTCTGCAAGTGCTTAGCCACAAAGGAGTCAACAGTAGACCTTATAACCTGACATGATTTTACCTTTCCTCGAGTTTGCAAGAAAATTTTTCTTTTTGCTAAGGCTTTCAATATCAATGCTGTTATTTTTATTATAGACATTATAATTATTATAGTGGTATTGTTATTACTAACAACAGTATAAAATACCAGAAAATATTTTTGAAAATCAAAGAAAAGGGTAAACAGGCACTCGTAATTGGCTCATTGGAGACTTAGTACTTGTGGAACTTTCTAAGTGTTAAAACATTAAATGAATTAAACTCACGGTAGGCATGGCATGTACATACATTCCATCCCCAGTGGCTCTGGGCTAAGCCTCAGTGTTATAGAAATACCGGGCAAATGATAATTCGTGCCAGAAAGAATGCTAAAGAATCATGATTAAAGAATGTAATAGTGGAAGTAACCTACACAGTCTTTAGGAAGCACATAAATTGCTGAATGTAAAATGTTCAACAGCAGATAGCAACACCTTTGATAACAAGAGTAGCTAGAGGGTATTGTATAAGTCACAATTATATTGTACTTTGAAAGTGATATTTTCTGAATGTTAATAAAAGTGTGTGTATGAATTTTGTATTATTTTAAGACCATAACTGCATTAAATTTTTACTAAGTATCTAATTCATCAAATATATACATATACATACATACATTTATATATATATATATATATATATATATATATATATATATATATATATATATATATATATATATATATATATATATAATTTCCTTTTACACCCCCCCCTCCCCAATTCCCTGCTCATTAATATTGTGGGGGCTTTGGAGATGGAAACTGAACCCCATTGTAGTGGATCAGCCCTGCCTTGGAGCTCGGCCTTCGCCTCAACTAATTTTGCATGGACTTTTCTTCTTTCCTTTTCCTTCTCTTCTTCATCCCCCTCTATCCGCTTCACCAAATCGGCATGGATATATATGCCATGCCCACTGTAATACAAGTTTATTTATTGTATTTATACACAGATGGCCCAGCCACCAAGGAGTCAGTTATTAGTCCTACTTATCTCACCTATTTACCCTTTTCATTGACTTTTGGAAAGGATCTTCTATAGTTTTAATTTGTCTTAAATGTTATGAAGATTTAAATAATTATTTAATAACCATAACATCAATAACAATAATAACTATATGGATATCAGTTGTATTAAAAACGAAAACATTTTCCTGCCAGTTCAAGGAAAGGGGAAATCAGGATCGGTCACCAGGGCCTATTGATAGACTCCTTGTCGGCTGAGCATATGTGGAGCCATCTGTATGTAACAAAATTCACAAAAAAACTACAGGGGGCAAAGTGTAAAATCATGGTGATTGGGTTAACCCAATCGTTTATTATTCTTACCCTTTTCACCACAGTACTTAATCATTATGTTACATGACCTTTGAGGTCTAGCATATCTGTTTGTTTTAAACATTAACCATTCTGGAAATCCACAAAAAACTTCCTTTCCTGGGGGCTTTGGCCCCAAGCCCTCCCTCCCCAGCCACTAATGACCTTAGATAGGTATATATATATGAATATACATATATATAAATATATATATATATATAAATATAAATTCATATAAATATATGAGTATATATATAAATTTTCATAAATATATAAATATATATATGAATATATAAATATATTAATATATATATGTATATATATATGTGTGTATATATATATATATATATATATATATATATATATATATATATATATATATATATATATATGTATATATATATATATTTATAAATGAGTATATATATAAATAGGAATATATATATAAGTATATAAATATATATATATATATATATATATATATATATATATATATATATATATATATATATATATATATATATATATAAATATATTTATAAATATATAAATATATATATGACTATATATATATATATATATATATATATATATATATATATATATATATATATATATATATATATATATATATATATATATATATATATAAAGCCCCCCTAATCCTTTGCTCGGTGTAGTGGGGGGGGGGGCTTAGGAGACGGAGACTGAGGCCATCAGCCCTGCCTTTGACCTCAGCCCTTGCCTCAACTAATTTTGCATGGTCTTTTCTTCTCTCCCTTTCCTTTCCTTCTCATCTACATCATCCCCTTCTTCTGTCCACCTCCAAAGGTGTGAGAGCCGAACTGAAAGGATGGAAGGCTGGCTGTATGTCAGTCATGAATTGCCTCTGGGAGTCATGGGCACAGTATTCCCTTGGTTAATTGTCTAGCCCTCATGGGGACCTTGGGTAAACCGTTCCCTTCCCCCCCCCCCCCCTCGATGTTTGTGGTCAACTCTGTCATTCCGATTTATCCACCCAAGTCATTACTCATTCTTCGCAATACACACCTTCCTTTCTCCCAACATCCTCCACTCCATCTTCTGCACAGTCTTCTTCATTGTTACGTACGTATGTGTGCCAATTGTGATGGCTCCCTTAATGCATTTCATAGGAGCTGCCCTACCTACAAGCTCGAATCTGAGGAGCAGTTCTCAGATTCAGAATAGGCCTTAACTCTACGTGAGGCCAGACAAGAAGCAAGCCAACGAGGTTTTTCTCTTTCTATCTATTCCAAAACTGTTCTTTGCTCTACCCACCTCCCATTTCTCAAGAAGACTCAGCATCTCCTTACTATCTCTTCCCTCTACCCCGAACCATCTTATCTCTACTCCCTCTCTCCCACAGTCAAATTCCTTTTCCAGTCTAAATCTAGATACTCCAGTCTCTGCCACTTCCCCGGTGCCAACCCCTCCTCCTCACTCTACCTGTCGCACCAGACAATCTAAACGTTCCACTCCATCTTCTCCTTCCACATCCTCTCCTACACTCACCTCTCCCTCTGCTCCTCGGATATCTATCCCCTCCTCTCCTTAAAATTCAGAAATAGAAAGCTTTTATGAAGATGTTCATTTAGCCAGCGAGAGATTTCACATTTCACATTTGACAATAATTATGGGAGACTTTAATGCCAAATAGGTAAAAAGACCGTAGTGGGGAATCACGGAATAGGCACTAGGAACGAGAGGGGACAATTGGTAGTCAACTTTGCGGAGGCTCTATCACTCAATATCATGAATACATTCTTCGAAAAAAGACTAGAGCGGAAGTGGACTTGGAAGTCGCCAGCGGGTATCAAAAACAAAATTGACTTCATAATTTCAAACAGGCGCGATATAGTAAAAAATGTTATTAATAATGTAAATGTTGCCAACGACCATAGCATGGTCAGAGGCCAAATTAAATTACACCTCAGAAGGGAAAGGAATAAACTCATACGAAAACCGCAGCCAAACTTAACTTGAAGACCAAAGCAACAGAATTTGGCATTAACATCCAAAACAGATATTCACTTCTCAGTGACAAAGATCTCAACATTGACCACATCAATAAACAGTTCAATGACATAATAAAGGCAGCTGCATTTAAAGTAGGCGTCAAACAAAGCTCCAGTAAGCTTTCGACAGAAACTAAAGAACTTATGCAAAAACGTAGCTTCATGAAAGCATCGTCAAATAGGGACAAAATAGAATTAGCTGAACAAACAAAAACTATAAATAAAAACAAGAGAGAAGATGTACGGAAATTCAATACTCAAATCATAATTAACACAGTGATCTCAGGTACCAGCATGAAAACAGCTAAAAGGAGACTTGGAATAGAAATCAAATATATGCAATAAAGAACCAGATGGAGAAGTGGCATATAATAAGTAAGAGTGATGGAAAAGTTTTACAGGGATCTATAAGGTATAGATCTTATAACAGATGCTGGAGAAATTGCAACATTGAAACTAGCCAATCTTTATAACAAATGCCTTCTCAATGGAAAAATTCCGAAAGCCTGGAAAAATGGAACAATTATTATGATTCATAGAAAAGGGAGACAGGAAGGATCTAAAAACTACTGATCTATAAGCCTCCTTTCAGTTACTTACAAACTCGCATCTCTGACATTCTAGATTCTAATCAGCCTAGAGAACAGACAGGCTTCCGCAGTGAATTCTCAACATATACGCCCAAATAAGAGAAAATTTTTTGCATATATATACATATGCATATATATATATATATATATATATATATATATATATATATATATATATATATATATATATATATATATATAAAGATTAATACATATGAGCATATGTGCATGAATATATATATATATATATATATATATATATATATATATATATATATATATATATATATATATATATATAAATATATA